ATTTTGTGAAAAGCATTTCAGAATAACTTAATTCATTTCAAACTAATTGCTCTTTATAATAAGAAGTAAGTGCTCATATGTGAAACGTGTATGTATGAGAATTATCTCCAGCTGTTCACTCCTTTTAAGTAAATGATTTCGTTTAATAAATATTTTAACTAGTGTTTTTAACGAATACATCCGCTCTTTAAGATATACTAAGATACTGTCACACTTAGTAGTGTCAGATTAATACATATTACACACTGAAGACAAATGAATGATCCAGATAACGCTAGTGAGATTAATATTACGTTTCATACATTTTCCTCAAACGTGTTGTTTTCAAGACAGATATAAACAAATTGCGATGTGAGCTTCATGAATATACGCACAAGAAATGCAGTTATTATGACACCTAATTACGCACTTTGCGAGCGTTGATTTGTATATAAAAAAGCGAGCAGTTTTACAACTAAATTTACTCGAAATGAAAGACAGATTTAAATCCGAACGTTGGTTGTACGACATCGTGAAGGTGGAAATTTACTTGAACTGTTGAAATACGAGGTTCTGTTGCTGAAACTTCTCAGCACGTGTCGAGTGGACCTTTGTCGCGTGTCGAGACGTTTCTACCAACACCATAGCCAACAGCTCGAGTACATGTCTCCGGTTGTTCGCACGGAGGCACAAGAGACGAACAGCGAACACGAGCAGTCTGGACGGACTTTTACTCTCTGATACCCATCTCGTCGGAATGCAAAATGCTGCTTCCGAAGTCTAATGACCACTACAAGACCCAAACACACGTCATTCGTAAAGGCTGTTTCTAAATACATTCTCTCGCTCACTTATCCACAGTTGTCCTTGTCCAATACACCATCTTTCTGCTGTATTGTAGTCAACCCCAGACCCACTGAAGACACATTAACTACGGTCTCAAATGGCGAGAAAAATCGACGAGCTACAAAATTTATAAAAATAAAATAATATTACGGATTCGAATAAGTTCATTCTTGTTAGTTGCATTTTTATTTTATCTGTTATTTCTGTTATCTTAAAACGCAAAAATCTCAGAAACGGGTTCTCTTTCCGCCCCCAGCCATTGTAAAACCTAATCTGAATTATTTATTCGAAAAAGCTTATCTTATCACTAGACAGAACCAGTTTCTAAATCGTTGTAATTTTAAGAAAAAGACCATTAATAAAGTCCAGGAAAATGAAAAGTATCGTAAAACTTACGTTAGAGCATCCACAGTGTTTAACGGGCTTAAATTTAACGCCTCATAAAAACGTTCTAGTCCCAGCTTCAGGCGGAACAGGGATATCGCTTCGAAACCCCCACTGCCAACTTTCTCCCCTCTTCAAAGTAACCCAGGGGTCGATCTTGACCCATTCCGAAAGCACACAATCTGATCCTTCGACCTCAGACAGGATTTTCCGAGGTGTATCCGCATTTTGGTCTTTCAGTTGAACGCTTTCTAGACAGATGGTTTCGAAGACTGGACATAGACACTCCTCCTCCTCAGGTCGCAGTTGCCGTCTAGGGATTTCGGCGACAGCGGGCATCGATCATCCGGACTGCGAGGTTGGCAACCCTGTTCGCAGTGTTTTCTGACGGATCCTTGTGGATCTGCTGTGCTACCAGCAATAATGATGATAATGAACGTTACTTTCTCTATTGATGGGACTCGCTCTTAGTAAGCTAAGTATATTACCACGTTTACAACAGTCCGGCATTGGCTACAACCAGGTTTGAGATCGGTGGCATTCTCCTCTCTGTTCGAGAGGATTTAACCGATTTTCCCCGCACTACCCTATTTTTCCATTTACTGGACCAATTTTTGTATATTTCTGTGTGATGTTTTAGTTTTCTTCAATACTGTAAAAGAACTGTACACAATTTCCTTTGCTTGAATTCTAAACCGACGTTTGGCATCCACATAAAAATACAACAAATGCCATCAAATTACAATACTTCGTCTTTGTTTCCTTCCTGACTTATTTGCAGTTGAAGACCAACCCGGAAGATGGAGGCGGAGAGTCTATGAAACGTAGGATAAGACCTGATCGGCCGAGTAGACTTCATTGCATGCTAAAGTAAAATCTGTGAAAAATAAATCTCCATTTGCCATTGTCTGTACGCCTAGTCTGTGGTTTTCCTCAAGTACCTTTCGACAGAACAGTGGCATATATAGTGACCGCCACTTCCTTCTTTCGCACAAATATAGATTGCAGCACCAGCACAACATCTTCATAAACAACGCAGCAAACGAGTTGGCGGTGAGGGGGGGGGGGATATTAAATTAATAGCGAAACGTCTTCTCGTTGTTTCTGTTGTCTCGTACCTTCAAATGTCTGCATGATGGAATGTTGCAAGTTACCGACGTTTCAGAGGTGTTTGTTGCGATGACTCATCGTCCTGAAGATGGAGGCAGTAAGCACCTCTGATACGTAGGTAAACTTCTATCAGACTACACGGCGCAACATCGCAAAAGAATAATCATATTCGCTGCCGTGAGAACCTAAAATTTAACCTAAGACTCTTGCATGAATATATTACCGCATCAGCACATGGAAAATATTCCCTACATGAGACATGTTTGTTGCCAGAAACATTTGAAGATGGAACAATCAGAATTGTCAGCTTTTAATTTAGCATGTGTTTCGACCATTAATACGCAAATTTGGGGAAACAGACCTCCGAATCTTGGGATAGAAATAAAATTCTGTAAACCTCCAAAAGTACCACTGATGATTGCAAAGATGATATAGAAACACGTGGGATGAAATATTTTACTATTATAAAATCAAACTGTACACCTAATTATACATGAAACATATTGCCCATATCAGCGTGTGTTGCCAGAATTTAATACCAGACATCGTCACAGTGGGGCTTGCTGTACACCCCTGTCGCTTAAGCCTGTTCCCTCCTGTTATGTTTTCACAAGTTTACGGCCGGAAGTAAATATTTTTATATATTATTAGTGCTCCAAAATGTTTATGCAACAGTTATTTCTAAAATAACGCCGAACGTTCGGGGAATCACACCATTAAGCGGTGGATGTGCTAATTCTTTTGCGTCTGGCTCGTGACTGACTATCCAGTCGTTGAAGAAATTACGGTTTTCGCTGTCAATTCTTTGCTTACAACGCACAAACACATACGTGAAGCTGTAATTATACCAAACCCTTACCAAACGCAGATTTAACGTAACCCCGCGGTTGCCGAGATATTGCTGTATTAATATACTTGGGCACGTACCGTCGGTATATTATTATTATTAATAATATGATACATTTATATATTTAGTTTCATTTATTTGTTTTTGTATTTGTAATGTTTTACTTTTATTATTATTGAAATGAATATAATTATTATATTATATTTTATCCTGTACTGTTGTTTAGTGCTTAGCTGTTATTGGCCTTATCTGGCTGTTGAATTATTATTATTATTATTATTATTATTATCCCATTTATTTACCACTTTATAGGGTATTTAATTCTACGTACCCGAGATAAACCTTGCCCCTAAGGTACATAGTGCAGCAGCTATTTCTGAAATACATTTTTTTTGTAATACGTGTTACATGCATTAAACAGATTTCGAGTGAGGAATTATATATTTTACATGAGCGGCTTTCGAATGATGTACGATGTTCTTAGAATGACGGTTTTATGAAGTTCCCTGATGTCGTGTTCGCCCGGGATGTTGGCCGAATATTTTTTGAGTGACTTGGAGACAGTTCCAGTTGCTCTTATAATTATTGGAAATAATTTTGTCTTTACTTTCCACATTTATTATAATTATTATTATTAATACTACTATTACCATTATTTTCCTTGAGGATAAATATTTTACGTAACCAGGCTTTTGAATAACTGAGTGTTCGGAAACATTTCGATGAATCAGAACTGTCAATACACACGTATTTATGTGTACTCAACGTAACCAAGGAAACATTTTTTTCGAGTGTTCGCTACGACAGTGCAGCGCTCTGTTGCGTCTGATTTGAACTGCATGTTACGTGGCGTAACACCTGAAGACTATCTGTGAATGAGACACTGACGAGGGCGTAAATATCAGCGGTCGAGATCTGTATTAAGGCGCTATCGTAAGATCCGTCTGTAGAGTCGGAGTAGTACCACGCAAAACCTTGATCAATGTCCTTGGGACCGAAATTCTTAGCCAAAGGCCCCTCGAATACGGAACAGTACTGCAAACTATTGAAACGCTAATACTGTTTGACTGACAACCTAACCTAAAAATTACTAAAGGAATTAAATTCTTATGTCAGGTTATCTTACAATAAAAAAGAGGAAATTTCAACGCCAGCAGATGCTGACACTGAAGCCGACAACAGTTTAGTGCCGTTTTACCTCCACGCCCTCATACGCCTTCTTTGAGGTAATCTTAAACACCTTCTTTACCACACGTAAGAAATTATTTTTGAGTAAGCCATGGTTTAGCAGTCGATTTATTACCCGATTAATCGATTGATGTGGGAACGACTATGATTTTAGATCTATACACACAGCGTAATGACCATGAATAAAACGTGAAGGATTTTGGGATGGTGGAGATATCTTCTCTTGAGATTCTGACAGTAGTTCAGTCACTCAAGAAATTTATAGAACCAACCACATACATTCAGTCACACCCGACTACTTTAATATTATCCTCCCATCTACGTCTCTTCCCGTCAGGTTCATGCATTTCTAGTTTGTCCAGTGCACGCTACATGTCCCGCCCATCTCATGGTTCTTGATTTATCTCCCTAGCGCAAATAATGAAATTCCTGATGTCCATCCTAAAGTAATTTTCTGTCCTACATCAAAGGAGATATTTCTACGCCGAACTTGTTCAACGAAGGACAAGACTACAGTTTTTAACTATTGCACTTCAGCTGAAATACAGTTTCAGAGGTCGACCACATAAGCGCGCGTGATTTGTGCACAACCAAACAAGAAGACAACATGGACACACAACTAGTGCGGGTCCTTCGGGTGGCGTACCTGCATTTGCAGCCAAGTGTCTATGTAGCTTTGTCCCGATGAGACCCAGCCACCGCTCGAACAATCACCAGGATGATCAGGAACTATCTGATCATCATCCAAGCTCGCCGTCGTATTTGGCCTCAGTACACAACAGGAACCGACCTCCATGCTAACACACAACACCGACACTGTCCATCACAAACACTTCACATTCACACACAGAACACCTGTTGACTCCAGCGCGGTCCAGCTACGTCTAGCTCAGCGCGTGCAGTAGACCCAGAGCCATCTTGTCTGAGAAAGCACCTCTCTCTCTCTCCCTTCTACTGCATTGCGAAACCAACTTTATTTTTTCTTCTCTCTCGTGTCCTTCTTCTCCACCTTTCCTTCTCTCTTGTACATTCTTTACTCCGCTGTCTCGCTTGACCCGTGCGAGCAGCTAGCTATTTATGAATGGGCTGGCACCAGGCATTGGCGGCCTCTCGACGGACCAATCCACGACCAGCTGGAGTGTTATGCGTGTGGTCTTTCTTCATCCGCTCTCCCTTCCTCCGTGGAACTTGTTTCTACAAGCGCTTCTTGTTTCCATAACAACTAGCACTGGTAGTTAAAAGTAAACACTATCATATATAACATTTAACGTGTCGCTCAAGCAAATGTTTCACTTTTGCATTTCGTGCGTATGATCACAAAGGTCCTGTTATATCCGCCTCAAAGAATATTCAAAACAAACACAAAAAAATAACAAGAATTTCTTGCTTCTATTATTATTTATGGAAATATTAATAAAAGACTGCAGACATAGTTTGGATTCCTTGTCTCTATTCAGAACACCCCGCCACCATCTCCGGGATATAACCTTGATATATCAGACCTCATCCAGTAATTAAACGCATCTGGAATTTAATCGAGTTCCTTTTCCCCCATGATTTCGTACTTCTGTCTCAGAATTAACAAAATAACCGTTCCATAATACGCTATTATTTCTTTACACCCAACTGCGAAATAAAAGACGCTCAACATCATTCCATATTTTACTCCGGATAACAATTTGAATTCGATTTTATTTTTGAGGATATCTACAAGCGATCACAGGGTCACAAACCCCACAGGAAAAAAATATCACTCACCTGATCATGCAGAGGAAAAAACCTTTCCGAGCGGAAATGCTGTTGGCTAATATCCAGGTCCGATGCTAGTTGCTTTCAGAATGACGAGTGAGGGGAAAATCCCCATGAAAGAGCCCCATTCATATTAATCTAGGGCGAGATAACCACACTCAGGAGGGAAAGTCAATAAAAATTTATCGTAAAAATACTATAACGATCGACTCGCAGCAGAGCGTTTGTTTCAGAACATACAAGTTCTTCTGTTTGTCTGCGATTGAGAATACCAGGCATTTCGAGCCAAGGTTTTCCTTTGTGGCATTGCTTCTTCTACCTTAAGGCGGGCACCAACAACAAAATCATAATCCTGGGCTCTCACAAGATTTTTAACACTCCAACAACTTTGCTTAATGTAGGCCCGATACAGTCTGCCCCGAAAATATGTATACACACATGATTTTTTTTGGACAACCTATATTTTTAAACAGGCCACACAGATATCAACACTCTGATGGCGTATCTCATCAAAATAATATTTTAAAATTCAATTTGTACCTCAAAGGAAAGTTTATGCTTCACCATTACAAAAATCAGCTGCTTAGGGTTAAGAAAATAAACGCTGTTTATACTAAAAATCGCATGGAACACATAAGGCAGAGGATGTTAAAGCAAGTGGGACATATAATTACTTCAGTGATGATATATCTGCTGCTGATATTATTACAGACAATGATTCCATATGAATGAGATACTAAATAATATCACGTAATTTATATAAAGAATCTTCATCATAGTTGCAAGATACATACTATCGAATGATTTTTAATCAAGAATGATTAAGGACGATTACAAACAAAGCCGTGGCCAATTTGGAGGTAAACAATGCTGGAATGAAAGAAGGCTTTCGCTTCTCCTCAATTACAGATTCGATCCTAAGGTCTCCTGGTCTCAAGCTGCTCTGGACACCCCTGACATGCACAGGTGAAACGCCCTGGGAGTTAAGTTCCCGCAGCTGATAGTTTAGTAGCTGGACCGGTCAGCCGGGGTGACGTGATTACGGGCCCACAGCGGTACACGGCTAGGACATGTGGGTGCACACAGCTCAGGAAGCAATATCAAAATGCTAATCAATAAACAAGAAAGAGTCTTTCATACCGACGAGCGGTAACCATTACGTTCTGAAGCCCGAATGGCATTTACACATATAGTCCGTACCGCAAAGAAAACACCACACGTAACCATTACTAACGCTCAGCTGGTTGACGCTGGTTAAGGAAATAATCGCTGTTTGCTCCGAGAAACATACGAAGCCCATAAATACAAAATCCAGAGTTATTGATTGTTAAAGCAGTTGGTACACATAATTACCACTGTACTCCAAAGAGTTAACAGTGAGTTTTCCAGTCAACGCAGCCGTCTTAAAAGAGCCTACTGATACCTGGTTTGCCTCGGTATATTTTGAATTTACGCAGTTTTCGTCAGTCACGCCACGCTACTGCCTGCATTGAGGAGGAACCATAAAATTGGTCAACTAATATTATCATCTGGATGGTTCTACTCAATTCTGCCTTGAAGACGGGCACAATAACGTCATCCGAAACGCTCGTAACCACCTGCATTACTGCGAGTATTACAACCCAAAGACCACATTCTGGCATCCATTTTGGTCACGATAGTGACTTACAATGGACGCAGGAAAGTGTAAGGCATAAATCATTTAATCAAGGAAATGATGAACGAGTTGTATCAGGAAGGAAAGGTGATTAATGTCTCCGTAATATCGCTAACAAGACCTTATCTAAAACCAAAAGCAAATATATATCCCACATTTATCTTAATCCGTCATTTAAGATGATGATGTAGAAATAGATGAACAAACGAAGAAAATATTCATTCAGGCCTGGGTATTTCAGGCGAAAGACGAAAATAACAATGCAAGCCTTTTAATAAGTGCTCCGAAGAAGTGGACAGGCTCAATATTTTATTACTGACAGCGATAAAAAGTATTATTCAAAATAAAATTCTTAAAATGTCTGTCAGTTCAAAATATGTGGCGATATTTTGCTTTACTTGTGTGTATCACAAAGTATAGTGACTCGCTACGGGACTGAAATACCAGCGATCGATCCCCGACAGAGGCAGAAATTTCATCTCACTGACTCTAACACCCAACCCAATTCAGAATCCCCAAGAAAAAGGTTTATTTATTTAGTGTTCTGTCTGACGACAGGTCCATATGAACAGGATCCTTCCATCTTTTTCTCGGACTGGGACCTGTTCATATACGTTCTTGGCAGATGATCCAGAAGTGGTTTGCCATTGCCTTCTTCTGTGTGTGAATGGAGTAATTGTTGGGATGCCACGGAGAAACCGGGGAAGCCCCCGGAGGAAAACTCCGTGTTGCCTAGAGCACGGCCTTGCCCAACACAAGTTATAAATTTGGGCACCGCCGGGAATCGAACCCAAGACCCCAGGATTACAAGGCCAGCGTTCTAACCGCTAGACCACCGTGGCGAAGAAAAAGGTACAGGAATAAAATGGCCGAAGCCTGAAGCTGAGTCTTCAACTCCACATACATTGTTACTTAGTTACTGCCATTGGGATTTAGAGGGACTGAATTTAACAAAATGTAATCGGAGATGAATCTCAGTTAAGTTAACAGAAAGAAATCGCTTGTGAAGACTAGGGCGAAGACAGCGGTAAGAAAAGTTTACAAAGATTAGGTTTTAGAGAAATGTTTGTGAAAATGTACACTTATATTTGTTTCTCTTTCCCCGTGTTAAATCTGTTTGTCCTTTCTATACCTAAAATTGCTAGCGTCACTTCTGTGTCGTCTTTTATCCCACCAGATCTCAGGAAGAACTGCAGAAATCCCCCCTCCCCCGAGTAGCTTTGTTCAATTTGTCGCGTTACAGATGTAACATTCTATTAAAGCCATTGTCACTGCAATTACCACCTTTTACCTCTTTGTCAAGTTCCTGGGAAACACTTTGCCTGAACACGATTCTCACGGTCACTTCCCACCTCAGAAATTCGCAGTTCCGATCAGACTCTCCCAAAGACGATAATGAATATTGGGGTTCCATAAAATGTGGGGAATTTCTTGTCCAGCTGAGTCACTATTAGCTTTTCAAGAAGGGTTCTGCCACGTAAGGTGTTATTCAACCACTTAACAAGAAGCGACAAATTTACTTCAGTGGAGTACACGTATCTTCCAAAATATCAGATTTGTTGTATTCAGTATCTCACTTCCTTAATGTTAATTTCTTACAGACACCAAGTCCACGTGATGGGAACGAAGCTGGTTCCTAAAACGTCGATCTGAAACCAACACGGCCGATAGCCTGAGAAGATTCTATTAATTATCACAGATAAACTTCTACCAGACTACACAGCGCAATAACCCAGAAGACAGAAAATAGACTTCATACTCGCAGCCGTGATAATCTGATATCTAAAAAATAATAATTCTGTATCTGGAACCTCGATACGCTGATTCACATTGATATTAAATGATTTTCTTTTCGATATCGTACCGATTTAGATATCAACTGCACAGGTAACCGTGTTTCAGACCTACAGGTAGTTCTGAAATAGGGCCGGCTAACCAGGAGCCGAGAGAGAGGTTACTTCTTGGGGCCTTTTGTTGAACGAATAATGGGCTTCAAAGAGAGTCTTATTATAACATTGAAACCTACGGACAATGGAAGGGTGTCAGGTCTGTAAAACAGGTGAACAGCGAGACATTACTGCAGGCTGAGTACTTTGGCCTCGATTCTGCAAGTAAATCCGAAGGGAAAAAAAAGGACATGTACTTTCATGTCTCGTCACCAGAATGAAAGACGAAGTTATGATGAAAACACGGCTGTAAGTCATTCGGAAAAGCTGCAGAGGGAAGTTATTCTGTGACGACAATAACATATCAAAATTCTCTTCACAAAGAAATTAAGAAGGACAGATTTTATTCCAGAAATTCTTGCTATCATGCAGTTCAGAAATGTACTCTATATCTAGTTAGGGTAATTAAATCAAAGCGGATGCAATGGGCGGGACATTTAGTACACGTGGCGGTGGTTCCATAAAAGGAAAGTAATTTCATGAATAGATGACGTCTATTAGGTTATCAAGAAGGGAACTGTTCCATGGAGTAATGATTTAGGACTGTGATTAAATCTGGGTCAGTCGGGAGACAAAGTAGCAACGTTTTAAAAATATTTCTTGTACCGTGACTTTTTAACTTCACAATCTGTAAGGCGAATTTAGTATAAAGCTGTATTTCGGTGACGTCAGTTCGCCGTGATGAGGCGGCAACTTCTCCGACACTGCTGTATGCAGTGTAGTCAGTAGGGGACATCCAGGCGCACTAATAAAATGGCGTCATTTATGTGTAACAAATAAGTTCCTTGTCTTCACAA